TCATACAAAATTTATTAAATTTAAAAAATTTTCTTTTACATTTTTTATGTGATATTTGTGTTTCCAACTGATTATATAGGGTCAGCCAAATCAACCGATTATATCAGGTCAGCCGGGTCAACTGATTATATTAGGTCAGCCGGGTCAACTGATTATATCGGGTTAGCCAGGTCAACCAATTATATCGGGTCAACCGAATAACCGGGTTAACCGGTTAAGCTTTTGCTTAACCAGGTCACCCGATTTTTTTGGTTCGGTTTGGTTATCCGATTATTGTCTAACCGGGTCATATCATTAATTTATAAGTACGAGAGGCTTAAAATAAGACCGATTAAAATTATAATTTATTAGGGCAACTGGCTTTGCTATGGCCTGTATCTCCACAAATATCACATTTATGTATATATAGTTTTTGTAATTGATTTGTTATTTGATTTACAGCATCACGGGTTTCATTTATCCCCTCCTCTACTCTATCAATTCTAGCAGAGACATTGCTTTGCTGTGGACGAGGTCTTTGAAAAGGCTTTATAGGATAATTTCTGTCTAAATCTTATTTACTAAATATACCTAAATTATGTAAATATTGTGTTAAGTTATAATTTTCTATATCTTCTTCCATTTGTAATGAAGGTGGTGGACCTCTTGGCTGTCTAACCAGTTCGACGGTTTGTGGAGCTGGTGTCTGCATTTTCTGCACGTTTTGGGGTTGAAATTCCTTTCTTAATTTTTCTATCTTAGTATCATAATTGGCTTTTTGTTTTGCTAATGCTTCATCAACCATTTTTTGTATATCAGGTGTAGGAAATACTGATTGTGGAATTACAGGAGCTTCTATTGTTTTAAAGTTATAGGAAGATTGTTGAAAAACTTGGCCTTCATTCAAAATTGGTGCGCACTCTAGCCACATATTTTTTAGTTCAGTAAAAAATGCATTAATACTTACTGGATTGGCTATTCTTATCCAAGTGTAAAAATCACCTATTAAGTGGCTTTTAAGGAATCCTATAACTTGCACATCATTGTCTGCCACTCCTAATAATAGTGGTCAAATTCTAGCTTCATAGGTATCAGGAGTATCATAGGGCTGATATTTTTCTTGAATCAATCTTTGAATAGCTGATTGCTGATTTCCAACTGTCTCCCGTTGGTATTTTGCTCTTAACCAACCTCGTAATGTATCTGGAGAATTTATAGCTGGATTCCCTACTACAAGACCATTATTTGCTGGTACTGGAGCATATTTTCCGCCCATCATAGATTTTAAAATATTACACTTAACCATATCGTTAAAATCTCCTGCATTTGCATTTTCAAAAACCATCATATGCCCTTCGAGATATGCCCATGACTGAATAACCTTATCCAAGTATTCATCAGGTGGTTCTTGACCTATGTAGGGTTGAAATTTTGCAAGAGCGGGAGCCATTAATTTTAATACTGGTAAACGTCTAGCCTCAGCCATATTTATTTGATTTGGTGGGTTATTCTGTAGCGCAAAAATTTGTTGATTTAAATTTAAAATATTCTGGCGAGAATTAATTTCCCAAGCCTTCCATTTTTGATACCGATTAAATATCCAGGCTCGATTGAATTCTGACAAGTCAGCCTCAGCTTTGCACCTTCGATATAATAGCTGTTTAGCAAATTTTTCTTGTAGTAATTCACTAATACGGGTTCGCTTTTCTGTAATATTGTCTAACATTCTGTTTACCTGATTTTGAGCATTGGTCCATAACTGATTACACTCCTGCACCGCTTGACAGATCCAGGATGTAGGTGAGATTTTCCAGATCACGTGTAATCCGACTCTCCGACTCTATCTCAGATTTACATTTTTATTCATTTCAAATTTTAACTGTCATTACTGCATTATCTATTTATATTTTTTTGTTTGTAAGCTTGTTTTAGTAATGATCATATACATACGTTATCCTTTTTTTTTTTATTTGTGCATTGTAATTTTTTTTTAAAATTTTATCTATTTATATCTTTGATCTCTTTTCACTTTTGTAGCTTTCGATCCTTCACTACCACTTCTTTACTTCCAGTCCTGTATTTAACTACCACTTCTTTTCTTCTGGTCTTGTAGTTTAGTTCTTTCGTTTTTTGGTCTCGCGGCATGTAGTTATATTGTATTTAACTACTACTTCTTTTCTTTGG